CTTGGTTCTTCAAATTGTTATCAGCTTGGCATCAAGAACTGCTGACAGATATGCATCAGCATCTGTGAAGAAAGAAAAGCAAGCTTTGTCTGTTTGTGAACATATGAAGATACAATCCACTGTTCTGTTGATTGTGGTCATCTTCCTTTTTTCCAGGGCATAGTTTTGTGCATGGTAGTGGAAGTCCTGGGATTAACCCCTTTTTTTCCCTAATTTGTGTGGCATTTAGAGTAGGTCAAGCTCTGAATGATGCACAAATTGTCATCAAATTAACACTTCAGTGGCTGACTGAGTGTTGGCAGCTTATGACACTGCTTTACAGAAATGCAGAAGGAGAAGGGAAGAGTGTTTGTCCAGTTGAACAATGCCTCATGTTCTTGCTGTAGGTATCGACATTTGTATCCCTGTCTTGAGTATTTTAGGCCTTCTCTGACTGAGTTTATCCCAAAGCTGTAAATGAGTCACCAAAATTAGAGACTAAAATTGTGTTTCTAAGCTGTGTCATGTGTCTGAGACAATAGTATACAGGGGTTTCTATTGTTTACCATACTGTATGCCTGACTGTTTTGCTGTGGGAACTTGTGGTTGACCAGCAGTTTGCATTGCTAAGACTGTTGCACTCTACATCAAATGGTGATTCCTGTGAGTGCCTCAAGGTTGTGCACAGACAGGAAGCATCTGAACACCCCTAGGTGGAAGTTTGAAGACTGCAATGTGGGCTGGGCAGCTAAGGGTATGAGAGAGTCTGTTTCTTGTCCAAATTTCTTTATTTGAAGGTTCATGTTCTCATTTTGATTCTTAAAAAAATCTGTCTTTTAGAACGCATATACCATTTCCCTGCTTTTAGAGTTTGCTGCAAGGAGAAAGTCTAGGTAACTCTCATCTAGGCAGCCAGGATCTTGCCATGGTACATTTCTGTATCTACAGCTGATCACAGGGAAGGAACAGGGGGAAATTGGTCTTGGTAAAATTTTATTCTTCCTCAAAAGCACTTTTTTTCGGTTGTACCAGTGAAGCAGTTTTATCAATTACTATGATATTTCATATAATGATAGGTCAGCACATGTTTGTCTTCTCCTGAGACAGCAACAAAAATGTCCATTGTGTTTTATTTCCCATGGCCAGCCCTGTATATAGACTGACTATTTTTATGTAAATTCCACATTTCATTTCTCTTTGCAAGACTGGAAAGTCAGCTTTTCTACTGTATTCTAGTCCCTCCAGGTTTCCTGTTTTCTCTGAGTACTTTTGAATTTTGTTTTCTTTTTTGTTCAGCAGACCTTAGCAGACTGATTTCAGTGCATGTCCTTGGTATTAAGTACAATAATAAAAAGGACTGTGTTGAACTGAGCTGGTTCTCTGTTAGCAAGACTATTTTACAGCATTGTAACTGGCTGGCTTTCCTCACACACATACAGACTCATTCCTGTGTCAAGCCAACAGGTGCGTGGCACTGAAAGTATTCACCAGGCCACGACACATACTTGTTCTAGAACCACTTTAATAACCTGAATGTCCAGATTAAAGCTGGAGAGCTGTTGAGAATTTGATGGGTCCAGTGGTTGAAAATCTTTTTAGCCATGGTTAATTTATGAACAATCTCTAACTATTTATTGGAATTTTATTTCTCCCACCTTCATCTTCCAATGCACCTGTAGAAGGTAATGTAGTCTCATAAGTTCTCTTTCCTAGCCATGCCCTGCATCAGATCTGGTTTGAACTCACCTTTCTTGAAGAAGCTGACCAACGCTCTAGGCAGAATTCCAATGAGATCTCTTCAATACCCTGTCTGGCGTCACTCACCTTTCCAAATCTGTCAGGAGATCCTGCTAATGCATCTCAGAAGTCCTCCATTTTGCAAAATCCAGTTTCCCCTCCTTGTTTCACCATCATGTCTCCTGTTTTATTACTTGTGTATAACCCTCTGAGGCTATACTTAATAATAATAATAATACATTTGGATTAGTTTAGACTGTCTCGGTCTTAAGACTGTCATACAGAGGAAGTTTACTCCTGTTTTCTTTTGGATAGCATAAGAGCTGCTTAGTTGCATGCCTCTTCATGTAAGTGTGAAAACCACAAAGTAGTCCAGCTTGCATGTCCAAGTTAAACATCAGAACCCCTTTTGGCATCCAGGTTTCTTAGTTTCTATAACTGCTTGTGAATATTTTTGTTATAGTATTATTGTTACAGATACTCTTGGTAGACTAACACTAAAAAGCAAAAGTGGGAAAAAAAGCCAGTCTTCCTAGTATTGCAAATGCAGTTGCAAAAGACACTGGTGTTTTTAGGATACTCGTAGTTCATCTGATTTCCAGGGGCATAAAGGATAGCTATCACGAAATTATCATATTTACCCACAGTATATAGTTCATACACTGCTATGTCTTTCATTTTAAAGAAATTACAACTGCTCTCCTACCAAATGCAGTGATTTAATCAAATCAGGTGATTGTCTTCTACAGCAGCATTTTCAGACCCCTGCAAATACTCTCCAGCCTGGCTATGAGCACTGTATTTCTAGACATAGCTCTTACCAAAGGCTAGCCTTTCTATTTGTGCAGCTTTTTTTCTCAGTGAGGCTGTGTGGCTCCATGTATGAAAACTGCTACAACTTGTGTACTGTCATGGGCATGCTAACCTGTGCTTTTTCATTCACTGGGATTAGTGCAGTGTGCCTTTGTTATAGTTCTGCCAAATGCTGCGTGTCACATCTAACATGTGATATGCTTCTCTCTCCTTTTTCGGATGCTGCATGCCTCAGTACTGCCTTTTCTTTGTTTTGAAAAGGTTTAAGGTAAAAGTAGGTGTCTGTGCAGCTTCCTGATGTGCAGCACAGAGAAGTGGACCCACCCTTGGGCTGTCACTGCCTGTCACTAGTGATCTTTCTGACTGTTCAGGTATTTGCACCTAAAGTAAGCTGGATGGTGATGGAATAAACCTGTGTGAGTTTAAAGTGGGAAAGATTTCAGTAACTGTTAATGTACCTTTAAATAATTTAAGGACTTTAATTAATTGTATTCTATCACGTTTGAAATTTCTCTGTCGCCTTTGAAGTAGTTTTAGCTTTTTAGTGGTTTTTGTTTGTTTGTTTTTGGGGTTTTTTTTTGTTTTGTTTTGGTTGGGTTTTTTTTTTGTTTGTTTGTTTGGGGTTGTTTTTTTTTTGTTATTTGACTGTCAGGTTACAATACTGGCTTCAGAAATGTTTGAGTTTTTTGTGTATTTTTGTGGAAGAAGTGACTTTAAATGGAACTAATTGTACTGAAACTAAAAATCTGCCAGAGGAGTTGTCTTCTGTGGCACTGGTTCCACTATTCTTTGCTACCTTAGGCTCACATATACAGTGATATTTGAGACTTTTTTTGGTGTGTGTCTTGCTGTTCTTAATGTGTGTTTGAAGTGATTCTTAACAAATATTCACAAACTCTCCAGTTCAAATATACATGAAAATCAAGCAACCACCACACCAACATTTAGGTCTGTTTTCTTTTATCTTGTTTGTGTAGTTTTGAAATAGGTCTGAATTGCTGCCTATCCTGATCTGGTTGCATTTCTCAAACTTTTTGTGCAGGTAAAAAGATTGCATGTAGGCATACAGATGTATTTTGTGGTGAATCAGCCCTTACATATATTGAGCTATATTCAAGGCAAAAAATAATACCCTTAATAATTGCAGCATTTTGGAAATGGAATTTTGCTGCTTGCTATCTCCTAATCAGTATTTTTTTCAATCTTTTTAATAAGTTTATTCTAATGGTTGCAGAAACCATTTTATAAAAATTATGTATCACTGTATTTCTAATTAATTTATCTTCACTAAGCATGTGGTGTTTCCAGGTTCTTTTGACACAACACAATCTACAAGATACTTTGTCACTTCAGTACTTACATCCACAAATCTAATTAGAAAGAATAAAGGACAAGAAAATTGGGAAAAGAATAAAAATGATAGAGAATTGCTTTATTCTTCAGATAGTAAAAACAGTACCTGATGCTAAAGACAATGCACTTGCCATCTTCAATGCTATTTTTCCTTCACAGCAAGAAAGAAGATGTAGTTTTAAATCTTGCTTCAGCTGCTACTTCTATCAGTCACTAAGCAAAACTACCAAAGCTGCTGTGATAAAGCCAAATGTGGCTCTGGTTATTCCACCATCTCAACAGAATGTAACAAAATTAGAAGTCCAGTGATGGGCAGTGATGATGGATATGAAGGATACAGCCAGGCCTTTTCATTCAGGAAAAAGAAATGTTTGAGGGCTGAGACAATATGACAGAAGAGCTCAAATGCTCAGACCCCAGGAGGTGCACTATTCACTCTCTTTACTGTACTCTACCCTGTGTCCATCAAATGAACTTGTAGGAGTCAGCTTAAAACCAAGAAGGGGATTCATTCTTCATGCCTCAGATAGTGGAGCTGTGCAACTCATTGCAAGAGGATGTCGTGGATGCCAGCTGTTCAAGGGGAGACTGGAAAAATACATGAAAGAGTAATTCATAGGCCTTTTCTATAGATAAAGAAACTACATCCTACTGTTCCTTTGACATCTATTTCACCCCTGTGATAGAGACAACGTTGAACTAGGTGGTCCTTATGTTTTGTAGGTTCTTCAGATGGACCTTTTATTATTGTGTATATTCTAAAAGCTTATGTTTTTAAATGGTCTTCCTGAAATCCCTTAACAATTTATTGTGCTGCTTGTAATGTTTGTTGTGGTCAGTGACTTAGCAAATATTAACTAAAGGTATTCCCCAATAGTATTCTACCATCATTTATAAAAGCAGAACTGGTTTACAGTGTTGCAGAAAGATTATATTGTATCTAGCAGATAGCTGTTGTACACAAGCAGTTTTGATGTCAGAGACTATTCCACCCTTTTGTTTCAATTTAGACTTAAATCACTCTAGTTTTCCTATATCTGAAGAGTCTTGTTCTAGAATGATGTGTTGTTTTCTTGCTTTTTTGTTTTGTGGCTTTTTGGTTGTTTTTTTTTTTTTAGAAATGGAGAAGCTGGTTGCTTGTGTACAAAAAAAGCCAAATGCTCTTTGTAGACTGATTTGTTTTCCATGGGCTGGAGGTGGAACTTCAGAATTTGCTGAATGGGGCAGACTCTTCAACGACTCAATTGAAGGTTAGTCATTTTTGTAGTTATAGTACAAGTTAAGCAGTTATGAAATACACAATAGCCAAATTTTTACAATGGAATATAATAGTCTTCAGAGCACCACAATCTTTATCCAATGTGTCTTCTCCAGAAAGGAAGGACTAGCATGCATTAGGAACTAGCATTTCCACTAGGGTACATTTTCTGTACACCTTGAATCAAATTATGTTCAATTGGGTGAAAAAATTATCTCCTCAGAACCATATTTCACAAGAGTATAGTATGCTTGACTGCTTCAGAAACTATTGGTATAGTTCAGGAACAGAAATACACTGAGTATTGTTGATAAGCCAGTCTTCAGCAAGGTTAAAAGTGAAGATGTCAGAACTATTTTTAATTTCGAGAGTCTGCAGAGTATCTCTTATCCAGTGTTTGCACTTCTTGTATCAAAACTGAAGTTTAATCTATGAATTTTTTAACAATGAAATGACGTTTAGTTACAATATTAAGTAATTCTCATTGCTCACAAAATATATCAGCACTAAAAAGATCCATTGCTTGACCTATTTGAAGAGGAGCCAAGGCCATTTTCCAAACTTTCCACAAAGAAAAAAATAATTTCATATTCATGAGCATAGTCATTGCAGTTTTACCAGTCCTCTAAATGCATGTGTACTTTCTGGTAAGCAGTTTTACATTGAATCTTTGAAATTAGGGGGAAAAAACAAAAAAGAATAAAGAAAAGGTTTTTTGTCCACTGGATCTACTTCCAAGAAAGTTACTAAAGAAATGGCCTAGGACCAAGTACAGATGCAGATGAATAAAGTCAGGGCACAGCCTGTTCTTTCAGAGATGGTTTCTGCAGAAAATATAGAAGATGCAAACTTTTCTGTACTGGTATATATGGTATTAAATTGTGGTTTAGTCTGTCTCTTCTAAAATACTTTGTGTCTGATCTATTACTTCTACATAAGTGGCAGTATGCATGATATCAAGGGGGTTTGAAAAAACCAACATTTTTTTCTGATCAATTCATTCCTTACTTTCACTAAGCAGTGAGAGGAAAATCCTCAGTTTTGAGAGGAAAATAATAAAAGCATGTAGAATTTCCTTCTCTATAAATATAAATAACTATAAATATAAATATCCACCAATTTGCACTATAATTCCACATTTTCCAATGTGCAGTGCTGAAGAGCTGACAAAGAAGAAAACAGGTATCGTACCATTTTAGTATAGTTTCACTTACTAATGCTGCCCTTGAAAGGATATATTTTACACAACCCTCAAACTTACTATTATTGAAATTAATGAATTTGTTGTTGTTATTAAAATTTATAACAATACAGTTGCTTTCAAACCTTGACTGAAATCAGGATCTTGTGGATTCTGGCCCAAGGCATTTATCAATCAAATCAACTAGAGGAGCAACATTTGAGACTAAACGAAGAATGGAAACCTAATCTCTTGTAGGATTAAATCACAACAGCAGCAATAGCAAGCAAGTGCACAGTATCAGCTGTAAGAAGGATTAATTAAAATAGTATGTATATTCTGCAGAATAATTTAAAAACTTAATTTAAATTATTTTTACTTTATCTAGTTGAAATAACTATAATTCTTTTTCCCTCCCTTCCCTCACCTCTTCTGCAGTGTTCTGCATAAGGCCTCCTGGAAGAGAAACTCGTCTTAAGGAGCCTTTTGCAAAAGACATGGCAAGCTTAGTTAATGAAGTTACAAGTGTTTTGTTAAAAGAATTTAAAGAAAAACCATTTGCGTTTTTTGGTCACAGGTAAAAATAAACACATTTTTAGATACCCTGGTGAAGGAGCTTCTATTTCTGAACTCTAGGAGTTGTTTTTATTTGCAAAACCTTAGGGAAAATCTGCTTCTGCAAGGATCTTCTGTCAAGTCATCCTAAAATATGCAGTTTCTCTCAAATACTCTGGTTATCTATTTATTTATTTATACCTTCAGGCATAGCATCTGAACACGTTTCTAATCAATCATAATTGTATTTATTGTTAATATTTGTGTCAGTGCTTTATCTAAATGAATGCGGAGGGTGAACCATGGAACACAGATTTTAAATATTGCTGAGTCTCAAGTATTCAAAATAACTGTTCTTATTGAAAATTAAGGAGACCATTAAAAGAAAAATAGACTATGAAAAGGTCTTATTTGCAAAATTAGACTAGGAGTATACTTCATGTCAATTAACTAATATCATGATAATCTGCATGTCATATACAGCTTCAGCAACTGTTCAAGATAGCCAGTTAGCACTGAAATTAAAATTATGTTCATATTTTCCAGTTTTTATGTAAGTTTTTACTTACTTTGCTTTAATTTCTTCTTTTGCTGCAGTCTTGGAACTTACACGAGTTTTGCTGTTGCACTTCATTTGAAAGAAAAATATGGACTGGAGCCAGTCCATCTTTTCATGTCAGCAGCGCATGCCCCAAATGTAAGCTACAGAAACATTAACATTATGAACCATAAATTAGTTACTAAGAGTAAAAATAATATTTTACAGTATGGTATGCAGAATAGTTTTAATACAAAATCAACTTTTCTTCAGAATCTAATGAGTGAAAAGTGTCCTGAGGTAGATGCAGAATACATAATATTCACTACTGCTAACCTTAGCCTTGGGAGAACAGTCTCTTTAAACTAATGCCTGAACTAATTAATGCTTAAACAAACTAATCCTTAAACTAAAGTGTTTTGAATATTGTATTATTTAGTATGATCATTGGCTTTAAGCTCAAAAGTAATCAAACCTAAATACTAAGTGGTCCTCCTTACTGTGTAATGTATGAAATAACTGTCTTGACCCTGTCTTTCATAAACCTGTTGTATCAGCCCTCAATACATTTGTCCAATTTTTTGTCTCTCTCCTCATTCTTTGTAGGATTTCTAATCCACTTTTTTCTGAGGTTCTGCTAGTTTTTCTCAGAAAAGCAGTAGTGAAGTGGTATTTTTCCAGTCCTGTCCTCAGTCAGTATTTGCTATTTCTGTTTTTCAGTTTCTAATGCTTCTTAGCAGTCCTGAGTATGAGCTAGTGATTCAGGGAAGCAATTGTTGCTCCTGCAAATTTCCATAATCAGTTGGTCTCTTCAGTCCTACATTAGCCAGATTTATGTCCAGTGCTAAGCTTTTCTTTCTCTTAGATTATTTTACTAGTTGAATTTCAATAGTAAGAGTCAAGCTTGAACAACGTAATATTAACAGTTACTTTTCTGTATAAGTTTCAGAAGTAGAGAGTACTTGGCTCATTCATAATTTGTAATTTCAGTAAGCACAGTCTACTAACTTCCATGAAGTATTCTCTGTGAATGTTAAACAAACATTCTGGAAATGGAAAATTATTGTACTTTTTACTAAAATAATTAAAATATTATTTAAAGTATATTATATACAACACCTGATCTGTTTTGTTTGCTACTGACAGTCTGCAGCATGTCTTGCCCTCAAAAACACACCAGTGCCTGATAGAAACAGTGACTTTCTTGCATGTATGAGGATGCTAGGAGGAAATTATGAGCTTCCACCTAATGAAAACATTAGGAGAACTATAGCACTAACCTTAAGAGGAGATATTAATGTTTTCAAGACGTTTTCGTAAGTTTTACAACTTTGTATTACTTTTGTATTTGTATTTTACATTTTTACTTCTGTCTGATCTTAGGTTTTCTTTTTTCTTTCTTAATAACTTGCTCTCATTTCTGTTATAAAAAGAATAAGAAACAGTAAACATTTTTCCTTTGTGTGCTTTCCTATTTGTTTTCTAGTATTTAAGCACTAGATGAAACACTGCCTACTGCAACAACCACAGCTGTTACTGCAGTAGTGAACCCGTCATGACAGAATTACAGTTCTACCTAGGATCTAAAGTTAGCAGCTACTAAAAGAGAATATTCTCACATCTTTTATAGTTTTGTGAGGTTAACAATCTCAGCTCATCATGGCTCAGGAACACTGCATTCAGCCTCCAGATCCAAGGTCCTCTAGCCTAACCAGAAGAAGAGAATCCCGTTGTTCTGGGCACCCAGACAGCAACCAACTTCCTGTGTCCTAACTACTGTCCACACTGGACACTCAGCTCCTGTAGCCGAGTGGTTAAGGCTTCTTACCTTAGCAAAAACAAGGACACTCTTGCATGTGGGACGCATTTTGGTCTTAGGAACCTGACACTGAAAGATGCTGAAATGTTAGAACTTGTATATAAGCAGGTAATATCATTATTTATTGTAGGTGAGAATTTTTATTGCAGGTTGCAAATATTTTTTTCCTAACTATTGTGTCATTCTTTCTTTACAATTTTAGATCTAATCGTAGTAGGGTAAGGAGCTAAGAAACTTCAAGATGCAGTATTTTCTTTTCCTGATGTCCTGTATAATCTACTCCTGAAATTTATTAAGTTTTAGAGAAGAACAAAATACGTTTTTTTGTATGTGGAAGCAAATATAGATCTCTTATGGAATGTTTTATGACTGCTTTTTATGTTCACAGATTTGAGAAGGAAGACATGAGTACCCCCTTCTCCTGTGATATTACCGTCTTTTGTGGGTCTGATGATCAAATGTATGATGCACAAGGTACTTTGCTTAAATGGCTTTTCTCATATATTTATACATTTTTCTTGCTGTATTGCACTCATAATTAGAGTTTTCTAGAGTCTATCTCCTTCTTAAAGGAAACAAATCAACACAGCAGTTTCAATGTATGAACCCAAAAGTTGATATGAGATTTAAAATAATTATTAAATAATAACTTTGAAATAGTTATACAAAATTATCACAATAATTGAGATTTCTCTGACACTTTAAATATCTTTTTTAGGTTGGAAAGAATTGACAAATGGAAATATTTCCTTTTATAAGCTTCCTGGAGATCACTTCTATCTGCTGAAACCGTCTAATGAAAGTTTCTTGATAAAACATATCACAATGTGCATAGAAAATGCCCAACTATGAGTGTTTCCCTCAATTTTAATAGCAGAATGTGTAGGTTAGTCCACAGCAATTTATAATAAGTCACTTCTTTCTCTACATTGCATGCAGTTATGCCTTAAAGTTGTTCTGTTTCTCCTCTGTAATCCTTTATAAGGGGGAGTTTCCCTAATTTTTTTAAAAAACAAACATTGGCTTTGAGTCTTAAAAAATATTTCATATTTTCTTTCTTCTCTTGCATATGTACAAACTCTTCACTTTATTCCATAACCTTGTTTGCAAAAAAATCATGTCTATGTTATTTAACTGTTAGAGCTTCTCTGTCTGTCTTTTTCTGTCAAAATGCTAAATATAATTTAATACCCACAAAAATCCACAATTCTCACAGAAAGCTTAATTTATTAAGTTCAAATTTATTTAGATTAATATACAAGCTAAAAATAGATTATATATGTAAATACCCTTTAAAGTCAAACAGCTGATACTTAAATGATAGTGTGAGACTACACAAAAAGGAGTTAGTACTGCATTTTTCTCAATAGAGTTCATCAGCTACTGAAGAGTTTAATTATTAGTGGGAATTATTCTGAATATTCTAGATTCCATATTTTTCTACCATTGCTCTTGCTTTAGAGATATAGGCATTCATGGCATCCTCCTTTGATAAACCTGCAAAGGAAAGTAGGAGTCATTATCTTTCCTCATTTGTCATCCTATAAACTTGACTACAGGTTGTAAATTTAATGGGTGTAACACCTTTTTTCAGGTTCCAGGCCTCCCATTTGGCTTTGCCTTTCAAATCTAGCATTCCTGGACATTCTGCCAAAATAAATGCATAGCTTTGGTTATTATGCAGATTTACATAACATTAGCTTGATTTTATCAAGATGTGTGAGTAAATGTGAAGTATATATAGTAATACCAATATTAATATCTCCAACAGTAGCCTGTTTGTAGAGTCCGTATAGTTCCTTCAGTTCTTCATCAGTTGGTCTTGTTTTTAATTTTTTTACATCTTCTGCAGCACCATCAAAGTCAGCCTGATGAAAGAAGAGAAAGTGTTCTCCTCTCAAGGGGTGTATTTAAAATTTGAATTATAAGACACACAGTAGTATCATTAGATATTCTCAATGACTCACCTGGGTTTAGCAACCAGACAAGGCTTTTTCCCATGAAAGAAGCTTCATAAATGTTAGAAAGGGTTATAGGCTTGTATGGCTGACAGGGGCGAGCAGCCTCCCCAGTTTATGTGGTGTATATGTCTCTTACAGTCACACTGCAGGTATGAAGCCATTCACTGAACTTTACACTCCACTGTAATGCCTGAATTGTTTTGACCCTGCCTGCACTGTGTCAGCTCAAGTGGTGGAGCTCAAATCCCCTCTGAGTGGTACTGCCCAATTCACCCTCCATTTCCACTGCTCTGCTGACAGGGAAGTAGGTGACCAACAACTGGCACAGAGATGAGATTCGCCAGATACAAATTTCTGAGGAATTTCTAATTTTTTGCAAATTTTGAATTGCTGTATGAAACCCACAAAGGGAAGCACAAGTCTTCTAAGAACAAAAATGCTCGTCACAGGAGGATGTATATCTGTAACAGCAGTGTTGTAACAAGGAGCAGCAGGCAGAGAGGTGCATTTAAATGGAATGTTTTTTTTAAATCATAATGTGTGATTAAAAGGGCTCCCTAGCCCTAGATTCTAGCTCCCTGCAAAACAGCAATTAAATCTTGAATATTCTTTAAACTGCAGCTGTAAATTCACAAAACATTAGATGGGAAGGATTCATGGTGACAATACACATCTCTAGGTCTGTTAGTTCATAGCACCCTTAAAGTGAAATGAAAAGGCAAAAATCCTGCCGCAATGCAGATGCTTTTTAATAAATAATCTTCCAAATCAGTCAGAACCTCAGTGTTTGCATAACTGACAAGCAGAAGTTTCTGAGAGATTCCCACCACAACCTCCCTGAACCAGATGTCCAGTAGGGGATAGGGGAGTACAGAGAAGAATTGGTGTGCTAAAATTGATAACGACTGTTTTAAGCTTGAGAAATGCTGCTGTTCAGTTTTGAATATAACAATCCTTCTGAGAATTAGGCAGATTCCAAGTGCCATTTGCCTTCTTAAAGATCTGACCCTTGGTCATTCAATAAAGTATATGATTTGGCAGTTTCTACACTAAATTCTAGATTAAATTACTTCCAAATTATATTCTTAAATCTAAAACTTTATATACTGAAACATGTAATTACTTAGTTTGTTCCTGTTTTAATAAAAATCAATGTTACTAAAATGCAACTATACCATAGAACCATAGAAAAATATGAAGCTTTAAGTCCAACTTTTTGTGTCTGATTTCTTTTAAGAACACTGCAGCTTTTTTTAATGAAGTATTTGAGAGTTCTGCAAAACAAATACAGGATTTTCCTAGAATAAAGAACCAAAAGGCTCGGAATACATTCATACGCTATGTATATGTTATATGTGATTTAGATAAACTAAACTTGTATGCTCTACACTACATATAAAAGCTGAATCAATAATGTTGAAATGGCACCTTGCCAGAAGCACCTTGCCCTGTGTCTTAGGCACAGCATGGGTGCCTTTAGCCTGGGAGTAGGGAGGAGACAGACGCACTGCCACACCAAGTCTAAACCCACAGTCCCTGTGAGACTGCTTGTAGGGCTTTTTTTGACAGTCAGGTGCCTTATCCTTCCATGAAAACAGGCCTGTTCTACTTTGTGCTCACCTCAGGGAAGAGGCAAGGGCACAGGGATTGCAGAGGAATTCACAGGCTGTGAATTTACATTCCAGCCTACCCCTGAGTCACTCCAGCCATGCCATGCTGCTGCAGTGCTCCAGGCACTGCAGCATTAGGATATGAGGGAGTTTTGTACTAAGGCAGCAAGACAAGTCTAATCACAAAAACTCCTATGCACTAACAACATTTTTAATAGATGTACAGCATTTATAATGGAGAAGCATTTAATGTGGGGAAACAAAATCAGCAATGCAAACTACCTTACCAAATAATTAAACATAGTGGTCCAAAGAAACTGGAGCTGTACATATTTGATGCTCCTCAAAGCAAAGCATTTAATGTCACACTATTGGTACAGATGTATAAAAGGGATGGACATTTATTTATGAAAATAAATGTGATTACCTACTGCTCAAGGGTTTTTTTTATTGGTACAATCTTATTAAAATAAATATTTCATTATTAATCCAAATATCAGAAATGTGACATTCTTGACTACACCAATGACTGACTCTTCCAGCACAGACATCTCTTAATATTATCCACACATGTGCAAATAAAAGCAGGATTCATGCTCTGTTAACTGTAAGATTTAAAAGTGGTATCAATAATAAAACATAACTAGGTTGCCACATAGTTTAAAGTTTAAATAAGTTGTTACTGCATGTGAGCCTCTGCTAGCACTGATATACAAGGACCATTCAAATCTGTGGAAATCTTTCAATGGAAATGGAATTGTCTTCTGATCTAAACTTCTGTCTTGGTTTTATCTGGGGTACAGTTCATTTTCTCCCTAGTACATGCTACAGTGCAGTGTTTTGGATGCAGGATGAGAATTATGTTGATAACACACTGATGTTTTGGTTGTTGCATACCCTGAGCCAAGGGCTTTCCAATGTCTCATGCTCTGAAAGTGAGGAGCTGCACAAGAATCTGGGGAAGGGGGAGAACACATCTGGGACAGCTGAGCAAACCGGCCAAAGGGATATTCCACACCACACAACATCATGCCCAGTGTAGAAACTGGGAGGAGTTGGCCAAGAGGGGCTGATTGCTGTTCAGGGATGGGCTTGGCCTTGGTCAGTGGGTACTGAGCAATCGTATTGTGCATCTCTTGCTTCTCCTGAGTTTATCTGCACATGCTCTCTCTCTCATTACTACTATCACAGTATTATACTCTACTTTTTAAAAAATTATTGAACTATTCTTATCTCAGCCCATGAGTTTTTCCTTCCTCCCCTTTCTCCCCACTGCCAATTCTCCTCCCCATCCCACTGTAAGTGAAGGGGGTGTGAGCAAGTGACTGCATGGTGCTTATTTGCTGGATGGTGTTAAACCATGACAGTTTCACAGTAAGAATGAACCAGAAGCCCTGTTCAATTGTACAAGACAAAAGATAAAAAAATAAAGAAACCATTAAGTTAATAACCTTATCTCCCTATAATTTTACTCTATGTGTATCTATAGGCAAATATCACAAGATAGTTTAAAAATTCGCAAATACTCATCTTACAGAGCAAGAAACATGCAGAAATGGAATCTAAATACTAAACTTTTCTTGCCTTATTCCCCTCTAGCCAATCATTCTGCACAGACTGTTGCTTAGGATTTGCCTTCTTACACAACATGCTTATGAGCAGCCTGCAAAATATAATTTCCTTTTAATCACATGCTGACAAAATTCCCTTTAACTCCTCAAATAAAAAGCATAAAAATATATACAAACGTAAACATACACGTATGCCTTAAAGATAAAAGCACAAATTAGCAGACTATTATCAGACACTGCACCTTTTTGCAAAGAAAAAAGCTTGAATGAAATCTTCATTTACAGCATAATATTTTACCCGTTAAATATAATATAAATATTTTACAGTCAAACTAATGAGAGCATTATTTTATCCATTTGACCTCACTCCCATACAGCTAGATTCAATAAATTTATGGATATGGTTGGTAACTGTCAATCAAGCCAATGTCTAATGCAGAATGTGTATGGTATCTTAAAATTTCAAGCACTGATTTTTATGTGAACGTGTATACAGCTGAGGAACAGCATATCATACTGCATTCAGCTCTTTCTTATCATGATTTATGGCTCATTGCTTAATCATCAGGCTAATAAATTCACCTTCTACACTGGATTCAAGGCAGAATAGAACAAACTGTAATTTCAGTGATTATTAATTATGCAAAGGTGGCGTTATGTTTGGGATTTGGCAATTTTGACCCACTGAAGAAAGAAATTTTTCTCAGCTGTAACACAGCACAATGAAACCTCTGTGCTATTCAACATAATTGGAGCTCAGAAGAAAATTGCTAAGCTGCTGGCAGTGCACTCCCTGCATCTAGGTCAGAGCACTGTGCTGCTCACTCTTTGCAAAATGCACACTAACTAAGCTGAGGCAGACATAATGAGACTGGGATAGAAGAGCTTGCAAATCTTGCAGTGAAAGGGATAATAGGAACGCCTAAAGAAGAAAAACTGCTTAATCCATCAGAGCACAGCCAAGACAAGGGAAGTATTCATAGTTTCCCACAAAGGTAGGAGGCTAAAAGCCAGCAATAAAGACAATTTCCTCAACAGCTATTTAAAGATACAAGCAGAGAGAATGTAAAAGGATGCCGTCTCTGTAGCTAGAAGGTAAGAAAGTAGAAGGTCTCCTACCAAAACACAAGCTTATCAAAATGTAGCAGTCCAAAGATGCATACACCCTAAAAAATATACACAACTTCCTTAAAAATTATTTACGCTTCCCAAATGCACATATAACACTGTCTCAATGTTAGAAGTTCCCCTCCTCCTTTAATAGCTCCAAGCAACCAGCTAGATCCTAAAAACATAAGTGTGCACCTGCCTTTCCAGGTCTAACTCAGTCATAGCAAACTCAGATGCACAAGCATGCATGCTTTTAACGGGTAAGGCTCCAAAATATTACATGTCCTATGAAATAGTTCAAATTAACCAGCATGCTTATTACCCTCCACTTGTGAAAAGTAATGCACTATTTAACCTCCAAGGATTTAGGCAGATTTCCCTTGCCACAAGGTAACCTTGATTTTGCAGTAAAAATCCTTATGCTGAAGAAATACCATAGTCTCCAGCACGGCATTACACAGACGCACAGTGCATCCCTCTCCTCTCTTCCGTGTCTCACCAGATGCAGAACTGCGTACCTGAAGAGTCATGATGCTGCGAGGATGCGCAGGGAACGGCCTCGCTCCTTCTCCGGCGGAGACGCGGCGCGTCTGCCAGTGGGGCTGCGGAGGCGCGGCGGGGCTGGCATGGACGGTCCCCGTGACCTGAGCTCGGCAGCGGAGCAGCGCCGGCAGCGCCCAGGGACTGCTGCACACAGCGACTGTGCACACAGGGACACACTGCACACAGGGACTGTGCACACAGGGACTGTGCACACAGGGACACACTGCACACAGGGACTGTGCACACAGGGACTGTGCACACAGGGACACACCGAACACAGGGACTCGCTGCACACAGGGACTATACACACAGGGACTGTGCACACAGGGACACACCGAACACAGGAACTCACTCCGTGCCGCCGCGTCCCTCGGCACCCGCCGGGACAAGGGAGCGGCGACAAGCGCCGGGAAGGGACGCTGGGGGCAGGCAGCATTAAGCCCCAGTGGTTTCCGCAGAAAGCCTGAGCTCCAGCCAGACCACCGAAGATTAGGCCGCCAGGTTGAGAACAGTGATACAGAGATTCCCAAGCGGTTTGTTTGACAAAGGATTTTCTGGAGTGGTTTAAACTGCAACCAGCGCAGTTATTGGTACTGTTCCCTCTGCCGCAGTCCCTGCCCATGTCCATGTCCATGTCCATGTCCATGTCCATGTCCATGTCCATGTCCATGTCCATGTCCAGCCAACCTGGGACCTCGCACCCTTCAGCTGCAGCTCTGGAAAACACGAGGATCATCCCAAGGATACCTCACACAAGTGGCTACACACAAAAAATACACTCTGAATGCTGGTTTTTAATTTGGTCTACTAAGGACAGAATAAAAAGAATATTAATTGATAAACTCCCCTATAAATGTAACCGCTGAAGAAAAAAAAAATCCGTCCCTCTTGTATCAACGAATTATTTATATTCATGCCTCTATACATTTATATACGTAATTTCCTAGGCATAGCTTGATCTATGGTACGTACTTCTGCATTTTTAAACTGGCTAACTTCCATAAAATCATGCAAAAAAAGTAATTTTAGGGAAAACAAGTCCAGGTTATATTAAGTCAGGAATTAATGAGAAAACAAATAAATTCAAGTATATAGAGATGGAAAAGAAATTGAAAACATCTCTGAAGCACCGGTGCCCTAGCAAAGAAGCTCTGCTTTTTCAGGGCCAAAAGGCTGTGCTTAACCAAGCTGCGCACTACAGTGAGTGTGGAAAATGAACGTGCTTGTGAAGATTTGTTAAAGGCTGAGGGCAGATTGCGGAAAACACTGGATAGAACCAGCCCTTACCTGTCACCTCGGTCACAGAACACAAGGTCCGTGCACAGCACGGCGCACACTGCACTACAGCGAGGGACACCTTTGGCTGTGAGGTCCTTATGAAGCACCTGGTGATCTGGCCCTGATTGCATTATATGATACACGACTGCCATCGCCTATGCGCCAGTTTTCAGCAGTGCTCGAGCCCTGGGAACGCCAGTGGTGAGCCTACGGTGAAACCAGCCAGGGGCAGGCCCCTGTACCAGCGCTTTAACGCTGCTTTGCACTACAGCTAAGGTCGCTTTGCCAGGCGACCTTGAGCGCAGCCCGCACACCGCCCCGCAGCGGCGAAATTCACCCGGTCCCGGAGCGACCCACCCCGCCGTGGCCGGGGGCGGAGCGGGGGCCGGGCAGGGGCGGAGCGGGGCCGGGGCGGAGCGAGGCCAAACCGGGGGTGGAGGGGAACCGGGCTGCGTCCCGCGGTGTGTTCCTGGAGCGTGGGACGGCCGAGGTAGGTGGGGCCGGCTTTGGGGCAGCTGCGGACTGGGCCCCACGGTCAGGCAGCCGGAGGCCCGGCCTGGCCCGCAGTGCTCGGCGGGTGGGGTAGGCGGCCCGGGGAGAGGGTGCTGCGGTCCCGGGACCCGGCGGCGGGCGCAGGGCGTTGTGCTGGGGCCGTGCTTAACCCGCGTTTCCCTGTTGGCAGGCGCTGCAGGAGCGCGGTGGAGCGGAAGCGGCTGGAGGGTGCCTGGCCGTGGGCGCCGTTCCCCCGAGCTCCTTCCGCCGGAAGCGAGGGGCTCGCGACGGTGGGGCGAGGTGGGGGAGCTCGTGCTCGTTTTTTCACTCGTTGCTCTGCTTCCTTATTTCTGCACGCTTGTTTTCCTCAGGAGTGCCCATTCTGAAAAGAAAAATGTAATCTTTGGATTTTGAACATGTTCCATGGTTTTTTTCTCGTACCTGTCTGTTGCTGATTTTGCTTGTGAAAGGTGATCAGAGCATCCCTAATTGAAAGCTTTTAAAAACGACAACCCAGAGCTCATCTTTTAAAAACAATCACAAGCTCCCATTCTGACTCAGTCACACATAAGAATTCTTGTAGTCGTTTCCATTTTTTAGTTGTGTTCACTTTTTGGTTGTTGCCACTGTGATGGCTAAGCAAAAGGCATTAGATGAATGATAGCTCCATAAAGGACTAATAGGTTAAGTTGGTACATCTTTATTCTTACATCCCAGATGCTACCATTGTGGGTGCTTGGGAGCTGAGGGGAATGCCAGCCCTGTTCTCCCCAGATGGCTTCTCCAGGTTCCGCTGTTGGAGGCAGATAACTGGGTTGGATGGACCATCGCTGAGGTGGCCCAGGGAATTTCATAGATTATTCGGAGAGTACTCAAGAGCTCCACGGTGTTTCTTTTTGTATTTTAGAATTCTCAGTTTTACTGTTCTCTGAAAACTCCTTCACTGGTTTTAACTTTCATTTTGGGTAACAGTTCACATTGCATTGATGCAACTCTGTTCAAGGTAGAATCATAGACTATCCTGAATTTGACAGAATTCACAAAGATCATCAAATCCAACTCATGGCCTTTCCAGTCCAACTCGTGGACCGTCCCTAGAATCACACCATGCGTATCTTCTTCCTGCTGTCCTCCAGACAAGAATTTAACTGAGTGAAAATCTATCCAGATAGATGCTGCTTGATGGCAGTACAGTTGGGTGAAGATGGTATTTGTCTTTTTATATCAAGGTAGCTCACTACCAGTACACAGAGAACTGGTATGACTAGCAAAATTACACCTTTTGGGTGGCAGCCTTTAGATGTTCATGAGCTGTACATAAATGCAATCTGTATGCCTGCTTGGGTAACTGGGAAATTTAGGGGGGAGTCATGTCATGTTTTCCCTGGTTAGAAACCTGAGCTGCACTTACTCTCTAAGCTTGCCTGTGCAGCAATGAAGACATTACATGCTCCCGAGCAGGAGCATGGGGGCTTTGCAATTTACGAGGGACTGTCATCAGGCTTGACCTCATGTCTTCACTGCTACTCTGGACTAGATCAATCAGAGCAAGAACAATTACACTTTCTCTGCTCCTGTTCAGTTTTTCTCATCCCTGAAAGGCATTGTCCAGGTGATACAAAAGACCCCTTCTGAACTTTTGGAGGCCTGTAGGGGATTGCCTTTCTTCCCTGAAAGCATCAATTATTAAAGAGTCTGCAAGTTTCAATCACACTTTCCAAATACAGAAAAACACAAAGGCATGGACTAAAGACTGAAAAGACAGATTTCTAAAAATCCTGAATAAATTCAGGAATTTGTGATTCGTGTTTTGTCTTTTTTTTTTTCCCCTCCCATGTCACGGGAGGCAATGCAGCTGTGCAACAGTGAAAATGAAGTGGTCCTTCAACCTGTGATTCTAGGGATAGGTTGTTGTTTTGTTGTGCTTGTGGTTTTTTTACATCTGTAGTATCTCCAGCTGCTTTTGTTCAGCATTAGAAGGATCTGTTGTCACTGCTGTTGCCTTACTGTCCTGTCTAGCTTTATTTATTTATTAAAAAAAAAGCAGCTCCACATCTGCCCTGTGGAATATATGTGAAGGATTGATGCCAACGTGAGGAGGTTGATAAATGCCAGTATCACTGACATAAATGTTTCTCTTCTACATCCCCTAAAGCAGCTTCTGGTAAAAATGTCCATAGCACACAGTACAGTATTTGAACTAATGTCTTGCCTTTCTTCCCTAGGGTGACAAAACACAGAACCACCTCAGAATGTCTGTAATTCAGCAAGGGACAGCAACACTTCGGAAAGCAAAGAAAACCACTGTAAAAACGTGTCTAGATAACCCCTTTGTTTTCCAATGGAAACCCATAGATGGAGAAGATATGCATTTTATACTAGAGACCTTAGAAGAAAGGATTAAACATATTGGACTTAAAAAGATTGAGAGTCCAAGAAAGAAAAAACGTTCCCTTACAAAAAAACAAACAGAAAGAAAGTGTGATGCTGGCACCAGTGAACTCCCTAAAGAGGAAACAGAAAGCTGCCAACGAAAACCAGGATGGACTGACATAAGTATCAGAAGACAGCTTGCTATTGGAGTTAATGAAGTTACAAAAGCCTTGGAAAAAAATGAACTTCTTCTCTTGCTGGTGTGCAAGTCTGCCAAACCTGCCATGATCACGTCGCACCTGGTGGAGCTGAGCGCAAGCCGCGCCACGCCCGCAGGGCAGGTGCCACGGCTCAGCGAGACCATCGCGCCCCTGCTTGGCTTAACGTCCATTCTAGCACTCGGCTTCAAAAAGCAGGCCGACAAATTCGCTGAAGCAATAGCAGCAATCATTCCAAAGATACCAGCTCTGGAAGTGCCGTGGTGTCAGTATGGAGCTGAAGAATCCATGTCTTACGCAGACACAGATTCTTCAGAAAATCTGGAACACGAAGAGCTTGCAGAGGTGCTGGGGGATAAGCTCACAAGTCAGAAGCGGAAGCATACGGAAAGCAATCAGCCTGATCTTTCAAATGTACTTTTGCAGCCTTTGAAAATCAAAAAACTTGTCCCAAATCCCAATAAGATAAAGAAACCACCTCGCAAAAAGAAAAAGGCTTTTTCAGCATAACTGATTTTAGTTTGGTTCTTTCTTTTAAACAGATTTTTTAAATGCAGGGTGGAGTACAGTTCTACCTGAACCATTCTTTTAGGCTTTACAGTGTAAAGCTCTTGAATACAAGGTGAACTTTAGGTTGCATTTGGCTGAGGTACTTTCTGCTTTAATAAAG